GTGTGTGTTCTTTTTCTCTTTCATCACCGAACAGAAAATGAGCAGCAGTAGGATCAGAACAGTAGGTTCTTCCCCTACGAGAACTCTCAAACTGTATTATTTTGCACCATTCTAGTTTGAGGCAGATAAGCCGCGACCGGTCGCTGCTTTGGGGGCGCGGACCCGTGCTGCCTTCTTCCTGACGACGAGTCGACGAATCCCCCTGACGCCCCTTCTTCTTCCTCCCACCCCTCCGCACAAGATCCTCCTCGCTGTCAGTGCCGAGCACCGGCCGTCAGTCCTCGACCTCGACCTCCTCCTCATCTAAGCCCCGTTGCCATCAGGGCATCACAAGGTGGTGTTAGGGTTTCTCCGAACTCAGCGAGCCCTAAAGCACACGGTGGTAGCTCTTCTTTCCTCCCTTCTTCACAGGAGATCCACCATGGCCGAGGTTCGAGCCTCAAGCCATGGCAGCCCGCCTCCCTCGGCCCGACCGCCACGGCACCACCAGGCCCCTAAACCGCCCGGCTCCTTCCCCACCACCGGTCAGGCCTGTCTCCCTTGGCCGGGCCAGCTCCTTCTATACCACGTGAGTTGGGAAAGGAGAGGAGAGGAGCTCTCGAACCCTAGCCATCGTCTCCGGTGAGCTCTGGGAGGAGGAGGAGGTCTACCAAAGGCCTTACAGCGATCCGGAGCTCGGCCATCTTCTTCGCCTCCCGGTGAGGTTGCTTGGAACCCTAGCACCAAGGCGTGTTTTCTTCATCTCCGCGTGGTGGTGTGGTCAACTTGGCAGGAGGGAGGGAGGGAGGAGGAGCCTGGGAGCTTCGGTACCCGCCTGGGGAGGAAGCCTTGAGAGGAAGGCGAAGGGGTCGCTGGCCTTCATCACGCGCCCGTCGCGTGTAGTAGAGTTTCCGCTCTAGTTTTGATGTCGTGTTACTACGTATTGATGGTTAAAGTTGAATTTTAAAATTGATTTTGTATTAGGGCTTGTTTGATATAAGAGCTAATTGCTAGCTAGCTAAAATTATCTTTTAATGTATCTAAACAGAAGGACTTATGGGTTGACTAATTTTTAACTAAAACTTCAATTAGTTGTTAGACAGCTAGCTAATCAACCTCCGCTAATTTAAGCTAATTTTAGTCCAACTAGTAACTATCCTATCTTATCCAAAGCAGACCCTTAGTGTTATTACTTGTTGATGGTTGAAAAGTTAATTTTAAGACCGTGACTTAGAGTCAAATCATATTTTTCACTCTCTCGGTTTATGAATAAATCAACTTTTAGATTTGATCTAAGTCCAGACTTTTTAAAATTTAATCAACTTGTATATAAAAGAGTACTTATATCTATATTGATTTTATGTCATAAATATTATTATTTTTATACTAAATCTATCTTACAAAGTTTAGCTTCAAACAACTCAAGAAATTAATTTATTCAAGGGCCACGTAGAAGCATTTTTTTGAATAAAATAGTATAGACGTAGACAATCAGATTTCTAAGAGACACGCATACACCTTACCCATATAAGCACATTCAAAAGAAGAAAAGAGTATAACGCTGGTAACATTTAGAAAAGGACGAATCCGCTTAAGTGTGAACTAAGTGGACATACTCGCACCATAAGAATCTAACCAGAAAAGCTCTGTTGAGTCTGTAATTGTAATTTTTATTTAATAATATTAACAAGAAGAGTGATTATTCAGAACTTTTTACAATTGCATGTGGCGACAAGAGGAGTCACGCGAGCCCGACCAACTTGTCTCACAGGTGTCGCCTTCTAACGTTCAAACTGGTGCCACCTCGTATGCTGACGCGGCAACTGCAACCATCTTTACCCTTTTTGACAACTAACCATCTTTACCCTTTGTCAGTAAAGTGAGCGGCCAGCGCTGACCTTTAGCTGAAAAGCACTGCCTGCCTGCTTCTATGCTCTTTCTCCTCCTCCCTCCAACACCATTCAAAACGATGTCAGAAAAAAAAACACCATTCAAAAAGACCTCCTCACTGCTCCAACCACATCTCCTGCAAATTGAAAACTACAAGTGATAAGACAAACAAATCTTCCAGCCACCACCGGTAAGCATCGCATTAAGGAAACAAAGTGCAGCCCAGATATATTCCGTGAATGATTGGTTAATTCAGCAGTTGTACCTCACACTAATTTTTCCATTCTTATTTAAAATGTTTTGCTCAGCACCAGTAGTTGCAGGTAATGTTCAGGCTAAGCACTGAACATTCTTAGGGCCCATTCAGTTATTATCTTTGCTCCTAGACTTTAGCTGTATTATACATCTAATGACCCTGTATGTAATTATTAAGCATCAAACAGGTAGAACCCTTACTTTTTGCTCTTAGTGCTTGTCTCATTGGCATTGCTTGACACAGCAATCTCAGTTGCCAAGCATCTTACCAACCGCCATCACCATGTTATAATAACCCCATTTGCCTACCATCACTTCGATTTCAACTACAGAGACAATTAGATTAAGCCTACATCCCTTCCTATGATCCTCTATTTCTAGTCATTTCCATTCCATCTCTGGGAATGTCAAGAGGCGGTAGATAAAGAAGTTGCAACCTCCATGACCACTCCTCATATACATCTTCCTACACAGGCTTCCATAGAGTCAGAGCCTCAGAGCTAGACAGAGAGACAGAGAGAAAGAGAGAGATTTGCAGCAATGGAAGAGTTCACATTCCCCAGCTCCCCACTGGAGCAATACAACGCCAAGAAGGTCCCATTCCCCCACTTTGCCTCCGCATCGCCGTGGCTCGTCGTCCCCGGCGGCGTTGTCGACACGGCCGTGCACGATCACGATCACCGGAGGAGCTTCTCGGCCGTGGAGCCGCAAGAAGCCGCCGGCAGCGACTACCACCACCAGCACCAGCAGCAGCTGGGTGGCTACGACCACCACCGCCACGGCTCGGCTCGATTCGCCGTGGAGGACAAGATGGACATGCTGTGGGAGGACTTCAACGAAGAGCTCGCCCGGGCCGCGCAGCCGTGCCCGCTCACCAAGGGGACGCCGTCGTGGGCGACCGCGAAGGAGTCCTGGCTCGACGGCGACGGCTACGGCTATGAAGGCGCCTTCGAGACGCGCAAACACGCCGTCATCCGGCGGCGGAGGATGGGCCTGCTCATGATGCTCAGGCTGCTCAAGAAGCTCTTCCTGGCGCACAAGTCCGGCGCCGCCCCGTCGCGGAAGGCGCCGCCGATCTGATGCAGCTGAAAAAATCGAGTCTTTGAGTGCATGATGTTGATGATGTGTCAGGTGTATATACGGAGGTGATCAATTGATCAATACATGCTTCGCTCGGTAGCACAGGACCAAGAACTTGGTTCAGAGCTGTCGGTGGGAGTGGCCTTTTGCTGATGAATGTTCTGTTTCTCTTGTTAGAAGTTTTTCCCATGTGTAGCTGTGTGATTGTTGAGAGTCTGATTACGCCAAAATTTTGGTTATGCCTTGTGTTTTGCTTAAAGTTTGACGAGCTGCAAGATCTTACTGAAATCAGGGCAGCTATCAGAACTCTGCATCGAACGATATTTGTAAAATCAGGCTGATTTTGCATCTTTTGTCAAGTTCTTTCCTGAGTCCTGACCGAGCCTTCATGCATATTCCAAACATACACGTAAGTAGAATCCTACTTTTGTAAATCTGCTCCTATGGTCCTACCGGGCGTAATTATGCGAAGTTCAGTCCAATTTCAATTCAAGTGAACTGTGCAAATGGAAACTGAAGCACATCTAAATTAGGTTTGCTAATCACATCGCCAAATCCAAGTATAGCTTTTCTGACCAGAAATCAAGACTATCTGACTCAGGTACAGTTGCGAAAATGACAAAAAAAAAGAAAAGAAAAGAAAGGTGGATCCACATTTCCCAAATTCAAAATGCATTCCTAGGTGCTGTTTAGTTGCACTTCATTTTGCAAAATTTTAAAGATTCTCCATCACATCGAATCTTTGGACACACGCACGTAAGCATTAAATATAAATAAAAATAAAACTAATTACACAGTTTTAGGCGAAATTCACGAGGCGAATCTTTTAAGCTTAATTAGACTATGATTGAACACTAATTACCAAGGAAACAACAAAAGTGCCACAGACCATTTTCCAAAATTTTTTTTGAACTAAACAAGGCCTAGTCACACCCTTTTCTGCTTCAGCTTTCAGCCGTTTAGATGTCGCTAACCCGTCGTAAAGAAGATTTAAAGCGGCTTTATCTAATATACAATCCTATCATTTTTCATAAAGGATGGACCGAATAATACCGGTCCCTTTACTCAAATATAATATGTAATGCTTCATTCACTGAATCATGACATCTATCGAAGACGAGCAACAAGTTAAGGGACGGCCATGTGGAGTGGAGGTGGAGGACACACCAACAAACCGGTTGGTCCCAAGTAGACAGCAAGAATTAGTTGTAGATAATGTCCTGAGCGTGTCAGCTTGAAGTCATCGCATCGCATACCAGTTTATACACTTGCCTGGTAGTGGTAGGTATTGCATCACACAGAAACACAAGTTTCATTCCGCAAGCAAAAGCCAAAAGGTTTGTTGGCTACAGACTACAGAGAGTCTTTGATAACTCATGTACGTGGCAGTACAGCACAGACACTGAATTGCTTCAACTAGGGTACTGGTCTTTCTCAGCAACCTGGAACTGGCAAAAAAAAAAAAAAAATGCCGAGTAGTGTGACACTGAAATGACCTCACAGAGTTTGCTTATTTGAATCATATCTTACATCACAAGTTTCTGCCCAAGAGATAAATTGTCATCCTAGATGTTCATCCAGATTTGATTTTATTGTCACAGAACATGGCAGGGAAAGCATTGAAATGGTATACAGAACTTTGGGGTCACTAAAATATCTCCATACGGATAATTGTAGGATAGGTAACATGGGGTTCACTTATTTAGCTGTTCAAGATAGGAACATGGGATTACATGTGTAGAGGAGCTCAAGAACTATGAAGGATACCACAGGTATACAGGAATTAGAACCGATCATTAACAAACATCTATGCTGTTCAACTCAGTACCAAACAACTCAGCGACCAGAGCATCATTCTGCAGGTTGAGGATGTCTGCATTACTGATGCCCCTACGAGTCATCCTGTGTGAAGAAGAAACATTCTTAAATAAGACATTTTTAAATAGCATCAAAACTGAAACTTGATAAGGTAGGCTCAGGTAAAAAGTAAAACAAGGCAACATGAACATGAACTGACATATTGTACAATACCTTAATCCATAAGAGAGATTGCCGTGCCCCCCCAGAGAGTCCTAAGGTAACCTAACAGAACCTGTAAAAGCAATTCTCTGTCAATTGTTTTCCAAAATCAACCTCTACATGAATCAGAAAATCAGTGCTTATAACAAAGTTATTACAAAACTTCAGAACTTTACTATAGCAAAAGAAGTTATCCATATTTGGATCTCACAGAGAGATACCATTTTTCCTGATACTCTTTTCTTTCATGCATAGAGAAAAGCAAGTGGGATTTGCTCAGCTACTGCTATCCTTGGCTGCACATGGCAGCATATGGTCAACTTGGCAATACAGTTATCTAAGAACAGGTAGCACATGATTCTGCTTGCGAAATCTGACCATCTAGAAGAAATGCCAGATAGAATCGCACCAAAGAAAGTGTCAAATTCTCCCTCAAGCTATCTTAGCTTTCAGTGTTATCATTTGCCCATATATATCAATAAGCTTTGGTTTTCAGGGCTCAGGGATGTCTACACAGATAGACAGTGTTGTGGAAGTATCACAGAAGAAATATTAATGAATTATATGCTTGGATTGGAATAGCTGATAGTTCTGACCTTAGTATATAAGTATTAACCATACATAAGCAGTGATAAACATGTTTGTTCTCAGGACAAGATAAAATATGACAACCTTTTACCAGGATAGACAACTCAAATTCATCGTCTCATGCTGTTATTTGCATAAAACTAGGAGTTAGAAACCTTACCATAAGAATCAAACTTCAATTTTAAAATTCTATCAAGAAAATGCAGAAACAGAAACAAACTGTAGTAACCACAGCATTCCTAAATGTCTTAAAACTTACTTTTATTCAATGGCTGCAGTAAACCATGTCAGTATTGTTTCATCACTTAGAAATGTTCTTAAGTAATCCGGACAAGGAACCACAGTGTGTTGACTTGTACTCGCACTGCTCACAGCATGACTGAAGTAACTGAATAACTCTCACACACCTGAAGAAATAAAACAAGCAGGAACTTCAAGCGCGCAGAGTATAATCTCATAATCTCATATACCTAACTTAACTTCCATATAGAACATGATTCAAAAATTATATGCATGCTTTCGATATTCTGTAAATGTATGCTTGCGTGTTAACACCTGACAATATCCAAAAACAGAAGTATCAAATACCACTGTTTTTTTGTACTAGTGATAAACACAATGATTAGTATTTGATAAAAAAGGTCACTCATCGTTACCTAAACGCCCCCAATGTCGACTGAAGACCCTAACGTTTATATAGGTCAAATTTCTGTTGTGCCTAAATAAACAATACAAATTTAAATCGCAGTAGTAGTGAGAAGCAAATATAATCTAAACTAAAAAAAACAGTTCTTCGTCATTCTAATTAAATTTCACGAATGCTATAACCCCAATTGAATATTAAATCATGCCAAGACTAATCAATCTCACACAATTTGGGAAGTAAACACCAGGTCTCGAAGGACTCCAAAGCTTCTCTACTTCTCCAGGTCAACCCGTTCCTAAAACCTGAACAGCGCGCATGCATTCAGCTAAAAATACCCCACGGCCCCATCCCATCCATGGAAAGTTGGAAACGAAATCACCAACTATACATAGACCGACGAAGCAATCGAAGTCTTCGGGTTTGGGAAGAAAAAAGGTGCGTACTTCCCTAGAGTCGAACATGTTCTTGGAGAGGCAGGCCTGGATGTCGCACGCCTCCTTCTTGCACGGCTCCTTGTTCGGCTGTGCCATCCCTCGCTTCCCTCCTCCTCCCGCCGCCGCCGCTGCCGGAGCACGAACCAATTCAAAGACGGCGTGGGGTGGGTCTTCTCGCCCAGAGTCCCTGTGCCGTGCGAGTTCACGAAGACGCTTTCGAGAGGAATCGCATCATCTGGGCCGCTTGGGCCTCACATGTGACTCCTGGGCCGGCCCAAGATTGCACGTGGGCTCCGTCAGCCCGCATTATGTTGTGGCTTGGTCCGTTGTGCAAATGATGATGCCCGTACCTTCTTTTGCCGCTCGACTCGACTAGGCCGGGGCAAATTACCTGTTACCCGATACCAGAACCCGAAATATCTAAACCTATATCCAGATTATCTGAACTCAAAATATTCGATCACAAATTTGGATAGCAACTCTAGAAACCCAAAATTATTTTGAGCAGTTCGGGTATTATATCCCGGTATCTGAACTGCCCATAAAACCTGAATTGTATTAAGACCAGTTGCCCACTCCCCTACCTCACCTTTTGTCCTTCACGAGTTCACGGGCATGGCCCAACCCACCACGGCACCAAGCATCTTATATATCAAAAAATAAAGCGACTCTCTGTCTAGCCCCTGGGGGGGTGCTTCCCCGACCCCGACCCGAGTGTGAGTGGTGACCTATGTCACGCTTGGTGCTAATGAACCTAAAGGAGCTCTTGGACAAGAAGACACAGAAGGAGGCCACGCACCTGTAGCAGGTCCGACAACATCTAAAGAGAAGCCCACCCGACTGCCTAACAAGAGATTCACTGGGCCAGAATGGGCTTGATGTCGTGACCGCTATCAGCTGCGCTGCAAGAGTATCGGTTTGGCCGGTTGTATAAGAGAGACCCTTGGAGAGGAAGAGAGAATTATGTAAGAACACAATTGTGAATTGCCTTCTACTAAATCCTTCCTCGCTATTCCCTGTGTTCTTCCTACTCCGATCCCCCTTTTCTACTTCTCCTCGATCCCTCCCTCTTACATTTGGTATCAGATACGATCGATCCTTGGTCGCTCGCTTTTCCGCATTCCAACAATCACCTTGCAAAAGCTCTAGGTCCGATTAAGATTTCTTGTGGTTAGTAGCAGCCGCCGCCATAAATTTCTCTATAATTCCTAGGCACGCGAGTTGATTTGTGGGGAAATCTGCGATGCGAACCCTACCGCCGCCACCACCACTATACCCGTCGCCAATGTCGTCTCGACGCCATGAACCCGGAGACTAAACTTTTGATGGATGAGATGCACCGCCTCTTCTCTGAGCAGACGTCCCAATTCGACAAGCGCTTCAACGACGTCGAGCTCTACTTCGAGCATCGGATCTCGATTCGAGCTCGCCGGGAGGAGCGCCGCCAACACCGAAGCGCCCGGGATGTGCGTGTCTGAAGATCGAGGTCGCCACGAACAACCTGCAAACGTGGCGCTTGGATACCGAAGGACTGGTGGACGATCTGCGCTTGAAGGTCACCAAACTCAACAAGCACTAGGGCCAATCCATCCTCGGCAACTCCTCTGCGTCCGTGGGCATCTTCTCCGCCCCGGCGCCCTTGGAGCAGGCTGTCCAGCGCCTATCTGCTAGTGACGTAGCTGCTCGGCTCAATGAGCACGGCGATGATCTCCATAACTGGGAGAATGAGTTTGGTGTTGTCACAACCCTATCTCATTCCCTGGTCAAGGGTATAACCTTGCCTCCTCCACCACCTCCCCTTAAGTTTCATGGCATAGCTTCTGATTTGTCTATCGCTCGCAATCGTCCACCTGACCACGGTTCCGCTTCGTTGGAACGTACCTAAACTGAATTTTCCACAATTTACTGGTGAACATACTCGTTTGTGGATTACCGGGCTGAGAACTATTTTGACATGTATTTACGAGCTGTTTGGTTTCTCGTACAGTAACGCAAACGTAAACAATTTCATTCGCCAGCTAGTTCAAATTCATTCCCGCCGGTAAGGTTCGCAGGTCAATTTCATTTATGTTTGCGTTTCCATTGGCACACCCAAACAGCTCGTTAGTTCATCCAATTAAGTGGGTTTAGGTTTCTCATATGCATTTTATTGATGCTGCTGCTCTTTGGGTACAGTCTATTGAACCTCAGTTGAAGCAGTTAGCCTGGCCTGAATTTTGTAAGATGATCCATGAATGCTTTGACAGGGATCAGCATCGGTTGCTGACCCGTCAGATGTTTCACATCCATCGGGAAACAACTGTCAAAGAGTATGTGGATCGGTTTGCAGCTTTGATTGATCAGCTCAAATCTTACAATCCTGCTACTGATCCCTTGGATATTTGGTTACTCATTTTATTGATGGGGTGCGAGATGATGTCCGTGCTGTCATAGTTATGCAACGCCCCCAAACTCTAGATACTGCCTATTCTCTCGCTATGATACGGGAGGAAGTCGCCGATCTGGGTCGAAAGAAGGATTTCAGACATGATGGGGCTGGTAACTCCAAGTTCATGTTCAAGTCGGCCCTGCAACTGCCCTTGCCCCTGGACAAGACCGCCAAACGTCCAGAGCCCCCTGGAGCAACGCCAGCACGAGCTGCTGCTGACAAGCTATGCAACCTGCGTCAGTACAGCCGCGCTCAAGGGTTGTGCTAGCAGTGCGCGGAGAAATGGCCTTGTGACCATCGCTGTCCTGCCACCATTCAGTTGAACACCATTCAAAAGGTATGGGACCTATTTGCTCTGTAGGATACTGATTCTGATACTGGTGAACAGTCTGAACCTCAACATGAAGAGCAACAGTTACTGGCTATTTCTTGTGATGCTATTGGGGATACTGAAGGAACTCAACCACTGTTGTTTGATGGTGTAATGCTGGGTAAGCCGATTCTTATCTGCTTGCTGGATTCTGGGAGTACTTCTTCTTTCTTGAGAAAGCGTGTGCTGGATCGTCTATCGCAGTTGGTAGTTCCGTCTGTTCAGTGCAAGGTGCGTGTTGTGGATGGGAGTGTGATGAGTTGAAGTGCTATAGTTCCTTAGTGTACTTGGTCCATTTCATCTTGTTAGTTTCTCAACCCTCAAGGTTCTGGCTACACCATCTTATGACTTAATCTTGGGCATGGATTGGTTAGCATGTTTGAGTCCAATGAAAATCCACTAGAAGTGCAAATGGCTATAGATTCCTTATGGAACTTCTTCAGTAACCTTGTATGGGCGTAATGCAACTGTGTCTGAGGAGTTGGAGAGCTCCACTTGCTTTTTGTTGACCAACAGCTTCCCTAGATCTTCCTGCTGTGCCGGCTGAGATACAGTTCGTGTTGGATTCCTTTGCCAGTGTGTGTGTGCGCTCCTCCTACAGAAATACCTCCAGCTCGTAATTGTGATCATTGGATTCCTCTGGTTCAAGGTGCTTGGCCTGTGAACATTCGGTCTTACCACTACTAGGAGTGTGCTGACGACCCTACGGTGACCGTAGGGCAAGAACGGAGCTCACCAGGGTGCAGGGGCGGAGCTAGGATTTGAGCATGGGGGGGGGGTGCAAACCGGCAACAACCATGCATGTCAAAATGAATACACGCGACAAAGATGTACATAACACACAGTTAAACGTTTATGTTGCGATACAAAAGAAAGCAGAAAAAACTAAAAAATGAAGGGAGTTTAATTAGCCTCAGGCCTCTAACTTTTACCCGATCAATCTAATTCTTTGACCGAAAAAGAATTACGGTAATAACAAGTAGTTAAACAGGGCCAAAACTAATTAGCACTAGATCCTAAATGTTAAATGGCAAACAATCGGTCACTTGTCGTTTAGCCTCGGACAAAACGGTCACTTAAACGGTAGACGATTAAACGGAAACATCATACCACTATGTAGCATTTAAATTTTAAATATTGACCAAACTCGTTAATGCCAATTGAAGATCAATTTTGAAGGATTAAACAAGAAAAGGCACTGATTTCAATTAACTAGCTAATTAGAGTGTATGGTATGGGGACAAATTAATGTTTGATAAGCAATAACGAAAACAAAAAGATATGGAGAAAATATTAGAAAGACCTAATTTTTATTTATCTAAAATACTATTAGATATTAATATGGAGTAAGAACAAAAAAATATAGTACTAATAGTATCATTAACTAGCTAATTAGATAATTAAGCACCTAATTTAGGGGGTGTATTATGGGAGTTATGGGAAGGTTGGGCGGGTGCCAGGCCCCCCTTAGCCCCCCCTTCCCTCCGCCACTGCCAGGGTGTTCATGATACCAAACTAGCGCCTTGGCCAGGTGTCCGTGAACAGGACAGGTCCTTGGGTCCTAAGGTGGCTTGTGGGGCAAAGATAGTGCTTTGCCTAGGCGTCCAAGGTGTGAAAATAATGCTTGGCCCAGGTGTCCATGGTATCCAAGTGAGGAATAGGCCAAGTTCTCGAGCCGACGATCCTAAGGTACTTGTGGGGCAAAAACAGCCCTTGTCAACACGTCCATGCTACAAAAACAGCTATTCACCCAGGAGTCTGCTAGCCTAGCTACTATGAGGTAGGGGTGAGAGGGCATACATACAATTTAAGTGCCACCATATACCAAAAGGATGGAACCCTGCACCTGCCGCCATGTGTACGGATGGCTGCAAAGGATTGAACCATAGGTTGGTTCAATAGATGAATGGTTGGTTGGTCCCACATGTATGCACGTATGTATGCACAAATATCAGCGAGAAAACAACTAGGACGTGCAATGAGCATGCCGGTTATGGGTCACGGTAGGCAGAAACAGCTCATGGGAGGAGGAAACGACAAGGTTGGGTCACACCAGATGAGAAAATGGATTAGTCGATCCAAAAACAGGTCATTTAAGGCTTAAAATGACTCACGTCGGGCCAAAAATGGGCCACAAGAGGATAAAATGGCTATGATGGGGCAAAAGGATACGAAAACCATTAAGTGAGTCTAAAAATGGAAAATAGGAGGCGAAAAGGGCTAAAGGGAGGGCAAAAGGCGTAAAACAGGTTGAAAAGCGAGCCATGGTCCCCAACAGGCAGCCCGTGGTCCTCAGAG